TGCTGTGATTGGTTTGGTTTGTGGTTTTGCAACTAAACAAAGCAGAATGACAAGATGTGAATTCATTCGCATGAAAGTACAAAAAAACAAAGGACTGGTAGGACCAGTTGTTTTTTTAGAGAGAGAAAAAACATGGGCCTGCCATGCACCCCCCATCGCATTTTTCTATTTCTTTGCCTCTTTTGCCATTTTATTCACAACACAAGAATACACTCAACAGTCCCCAGGAGGGGCATGCTGAATGAGAGCAGAGATTCAATGCTGACATGATGCTGTAAAAAGCATTGTTCCTCACCACAGCTTTCCTTGAATTGCCTTTGTGTTCCTTCAAATGTTTACATGGAACAGCTCGGGGGCTTGAAGACAGATGTATGGTCCAAGTATACTGACTCACTACAATCCCTCTTTTCCCCGGATGAAAGTAATGACACCATTTTGAGGGCTTTTTTCAAAATCGTTCCTTAGGATGATGCTTTGATTAAGCGGCGTGCTTTTCTATCTTTGCTCCCTTGTCAAAATGATATCAGACAAATGAAACCAATAGTTCCTCTTTCGAAATCCCACTCCCACTCACAAGGTCATTTCCACTTTTAATTTCTGTCCCAGCTCGAGGCCTGTTCTGAGACATTCCTCTCTCTTTTCTCTTTTTTGTGTTCTTGATAGTTAAAGAGGTGGCTCCTGGTCCTGTGTCAGATTGATTAGACTTTCAGCCAGGAGAATTAATATGTGAAGAATTTGTCTGTTTCCCCCCTGCAGCGCTTCTCCCCTTTAGTCTCATCAGTAAACAAGGAGACATGAAAACAGAACCACTCTCAGCTATGTGATTAAAACTGGCTCCAGATGAAGAACATGCCTCCTCAGTCAATGCTGCTATTATTGAATATTTTCATAGACGAAGCATATACCTTCCCCAGGATTTGCCTTATTTGCCAGCAGCTAATCATTAAAAAGACACAGGTTTGGTTTACTGTGTGCCTGTTTCAACCCACAGAATTATCAATACAAAGATCCCATAATAAAAAAAGACCAAAAACTAGCAGTGTAAAACTAAACTCTTGCAGTATGATTTCATCCAGCTACCCTAATATGGCAGGACGACAGAAACATGGTGGGAAAAAGGCCCCTTTGCCCCATGCAAATAGCCATTACCATACCCCTTTGGGCAAACGGCAATTACTGGGCAAAGGGTGAATGCCAAAACCCTGTGGTACAAGTTAATTTGATTACATTTCCATTATGAACTATAAACACAGTTTTGCTGCTCGACTGAGCCAATTAAAGGCCTCCTGAAGCTTTAAAAAAAAAAAAAAAAAAAAACTGACAGCGTAGTGGCCACATTGTTCTCCAACAATACAGAAGATGGAAATCATTTGTCACCCTTAAACAGGTTTGAGGCAAATTCTATGTTCTTTCTTTTTCATAGAAATTACCATTATTTATTTAACATATTTTCTGTCAGGTTGTTTTCCAGTCATTTATTTCAAATGTCGCTGCCAATGAGCACAGATTTTCTCCTTTTTTTTTTCCAATTTAGTTGTGATATGTTCCATCTTGGTGAATAAAGCATCCTGTGGCAACATGAATAAACATGTGGAGACAGAATTTGGCAGCCAGGGAAAAAGCATCCAACCAACCAGCCAGACATGGGAGGAGGTGCTCTGAAGACACACAAGAAGTCTGAATTGGAAGTCAGGCTGCCACTGCATTTCACCTGAGGCTCTGCGAGCCACGAGCTGGGCTTTTCCTGGGCACGAGCCATGCACGGCGAGAAGAAAAACAAGCATTTAGTCCAAATTTCTGCAGACATCTGCTAGCTCTCTGGAGCTGTAAACATGTTTAATTAACTGGATTTCACCAAACAGGGATATACATATGTCATAAATATGCACGGTGTGTAATTATGGTATGGTAGCTCAGAAGTTTCAGCACTCCCACTCCCATGTCACCGACCGTGCCCCATATGGAACTTGTGACGTGATCAATGTGCTTTAAGTTGGAGGAGACGCAATTATTTCATCACATGGGGCTCAGAATTGATATCATGTTGAAAATCAGAAGCCTGCAGCCAGTGTGGCGTCAATGTGAGAATGTGGGGCTACTTTTGTGAAGCTACATGCAAAACGGATTAAGCTTTCTATTATTTGTGATGGAGTGTTGTACGTGTGGGCGCAGACGATCGGGTTTGTCATCAGTCTTTGTTGGAACTAGGAGATGCCTTTGATTCCATTAAAAGTGTATTATATTTCTCTTGATGGAGTTGTGTAATCGTGTACACATTGATTTTTCTGTCTTTCTGTGGATGTGTTCGCACGTATGCATGTGTGTGTGTGTGTTAGTGTGTCACTGATGTAGACGAATTATGATCTGGTGCCGGCATTAGAGCAGCCAGTTTTAATCACACAAGGATTCAGAGTGTTTTAAACAAATGCTTTTTTGTAAGCATGGTGGATTATCATAAGATTTAAAGATTTGGAAATGGCTGACAGCTGTCAGGCTGCATAATAACGAAGGTCCAGAAAATTATAGCAGCTGCCTGTTGGCAGAATGTCAATGCTGCTATCTAGATTAAAGCTCAATAGACAGGAACATACAGTAAGCTCCTGCACACACACACACTGCTGCACACAGCATAGAAACACAATCTATTACAAGACACAAGGGTAGATTTTAGTCTGAGAGACTTTGAGGACGAGTGAAAGGATACGAAGGCTACTGATGAAGAAAGACAACACCTAACATCTATTTACTTGGTATTTCGTTGAGTGGGTCTAAATTAGTCTTCAAAAAAGCCTGCTGAGAGCAGCCTGCAGCAGAAGAGAGGTTCCCCTGTGGTCTTTATCAGGTATCCTCTCGAGAAACTGAGCAGCCAGCAGTACTAAACGCAGCAGGAGCCTCAGTAGGAACCTGCTGAAAAACAAGTACATGCCTCCAGTTCCCCGGGGGCCTCTTGTGCCTGCATGTCACCTAATTTATGACATCCTCAGAGGTCCCCGGCTCTCAGGGAACGACTACAGCAGCACCTCCAACTTTATGCAAAGGCACAGCTGCACTGCCAGTCATTTGCAAACAAGGATGCCCCATGAGGACGAGACCTGCTTCCTACTTCAGAAGAACAAGCCCTCTCTGGCTGCTGAGGACCCCCTGCACGGACTTCGACTGCATCATCACTAAAGAACCTGAAGCAACGACTGTGCCCGATAGAGGAGGTCCTTCTCAATTGAAAGAGCAGGCAGACAGAGGAGTGAATCTCTCAGCAATGCTAATGCGCAGCCGGGAACATTCAAGGGGCCTGAATACCAACTGCACGGATGAGAAAGAGGTCTGTTTGGGGAGGAAAGGTAAAGCCCTGTGAAGTAGCCTTGAAGCGCTAAACAGATCCTCACAGACTCCAGGCATGTTAGCTCGAGCAAAGGATGATAATAACAGCTAGAGGAACGTCGCCCTGCATAATAAGACACGCCTGAGACTCCTTTTAGATAAGGTTGGGAGCACTTTAGAGCAATGCGACCTGTTCAAAGACAAACAAGCAAAGGGATTATGCTGCTTTTAGCACTCTGCTGCTCTGAGTGTTGTGATTAGAAGATGGGGATTGTATGGAGACGCCACTTCTCATATGAATCAGCTTTCATATGAGAGACTTTTTTTTTTCTCTTTTGGGACCTATTGAAGTACATGCCTCAAGGAACTGAAAGTCAAACATGCATCTTTCTTTTTTGCCATTCACAATGACCCTCTAATGAAAAAACATGACCCTGTGGTTGAATTCTTCAACACAAGAGTAAATACCCATTAATGTGAATGTACAGCAACAGTGGTGATTAAATTCACAGTCCAGTAAGCCGCCCATAATAATCCTTGTCCTTCATCAACTTACCTTCACTTCTATTGAGAAATGCTTTCCAAATTATGAAATATGGAGGAAGGAAGGATTTTCTTTCGCTTGCTTTCTTTGTCTTGATCTACCATCCACACTGAATGTCTCATCACATTCTCATTGGTCAGGAGGCACAGGTCATGCATTCACAGATGGAAAGTGACAAGCTGTACCAATGTCACAGTAATAATGTGATTATTGTAGAACATGTCCATGCCTTTATCCTACATGTCTGTGGCTGCTGCATGTTGTGGTTATTCATTTCCGAGCATGCAGATTACTTTCACACAGCCTGTGAGCAGGAGAGCAAAAAGGGGACATTAGGGAAATGTAACACAGCCTTCAAATAATGGCCCTGCTTCATTGTCCCATAGCCATATTCATGCAAGTTAATGGCTGGTTCAGCTAGGCTATTAAGGTGGCCTATAGGCTGGAGGGGCGGCACAATGTAGAAGCTGTAAAACAATCTGTTCTGAGGTTTCTCAGCCAGGGCCACTGGGGTTTTTTATAGCTTTCACTGGGGATTAAGTACATTTTGACAGATCACAAGGACCCTGATCCTTAGCCTTTTTTACTAATGTTGTAAAACAGCTCAAGTAATTGCATATAAAATGTGATATCTAGCAGATTTAAAGTCACAGACGACCACTTAAGAGCAACATAATGTGCCATAATGACTCAAGGGTGACCGTTTGATGAATTTTAGTTATTCACAATGACAAGCTCATTTTCACCAACATGCATTTATCATTAATGTAGCGAAGTATCAAGTGTTGCAGAGGAGGCTGTGCTGCTTGGCTTTTGGACGATGTAAATTGCCTTGTTGCTACAGAGGGAATGAGGTGAAAGTGGCAGTTTGAACACGTCCCTGCACGAGGAAACGCATTTAACATTTGACGAATTACATCTTATCTAGTGTGTGCCATTTGATATGATTTGGTTTTCAAATTTGCCTTGAGGACAATGTCTTTAAAAAACAGAACTGTATCATCTTTGAACAGTTTTTTGTTCGCCTCACATTCTGTGCCAACAATTTAACACTACCACAGACTTTCTTGTGCGCCTTTTTTTCTGCTCCTCTCCAACAACACAACGTGGAGAAAATATCCAGAGAGGCGCATCTTACCTTGAGCCTGAGCGCTGAGGATACAAGTAGCACAAAGCAGAATCCAACAGGAGACCCACACCTGTCCGACCTGTCCGGTCCGTCCAGATGTAACCATGGTCCGCGGCGCCACCGCCGAGCCCCCGGTGCGCCTTCCCGGTCTCCGCGCTGGGAACATGTTGCTCAGTGGCCAAACACTCCCGGGAAGAGTCCTGGCTGCTGCTGCTGCTGCTTCTGCTGCCGCTGGTCCTGTGCGTCAGACTGCTCCTCACTGGCGATATGGTGTGAGTGACTAGGATTGTGGAGAGCGCTCACGCCGTCAGAGAGCACCAGGCATGCAGACAAGCACGCGGTAGTATGAGGAGCCTGTGGACAAGTCCCGCATGAGCAAGGCGGAGTCAGTCCAATTGAATTTGCTCGGCTGTCAAGTGTGCGAGACGGAATATTGACATCATTTTTGTTTCACTGCCCCTGTAACCTCTGAATGTTACACAGAGATATATCCTATAGTGACATGGCATTAGTAAGAAAGAGGTGGCTGAACATAGTCTCCAAGTTTTTGTCATGCCAGTTTTTTTTGCCTAATTTCATACCACTCATATATCAGTCATCTGGGGGGGGGGGGGTGGAGGTGTCAGGTCCACTGCATATTGTCCTCCTTGAGCTTCAGCAAGCTGCCCCTTTTCATCATCCAGTTGTAGGTAGCAAAAACTCCCAGGTGAGTCTGTGTTGTTTAAGAGTGTAAATAGATTTTCTCCACCTTCCTCCAGAGGTCAAAATGTGTTTTTTCTTCTACTTAAAAAACGACACTATTCTGTTTTCATTCGGGGTGTCCACTGGCTAAACATTCAGGTAGTTTTTTTTTCCAACAGTTGACCATCACATAGATGTAAGCAGTGCGCACAGCCTGAGCCGTACACTGGCTTGACATACATGTGCCCTGTACGCTATTGCCACCACGCGGCAGAGAGCGGTAGGAAACGTCTATTTGAACAGATATGATTGATAGTTGACAAGTTAAAACCAAAATGCCTGCATTTCGAGACTACCTATGACAACTCAATCTTTATTTATTTTTTTGCCCTAAAAAAGCTGTTTTTGGATGTTGCCACTGCTTGGGATAAAGCAGTAACTGGGCCACAGGCTAAGAGTAAATGGCATGCACCCTTTTTCTGTAAATCTATTTATTCTGCATTGGCCCCGGTTAAGCCCTGACTCTGTGGTGTGGTTTAAAAGCAGAGAGGCAGAATCATTGCACTGACAAATAGCATATGAAATAGCTTACACTTGAACAATTTCAATTGACTCAGAAGTCAGTTTGAGATCAAGCAGGATGGCAGACTGTCTGTGAACGCTCACGCTCCCTCTATCAGCAGACAAAAGGATGAAAGGGGGGAGTTTAAGGACACAGAAATGGTGGCCACTTCTGACGGGCAACACACGAGCTGTAATATCAGCTTTGTTGTGCTTGGTTCCTTTTGAGCACACTGAAAAATGCATGCAGGGCAAGGTAAGCTTCAAAGAGCCGTCACAATATTTCTGCCTCAAAAAAAAACCCCTACCTGTATGTGTGCCATTAGATTTTGCGAGTTTTGGAGAACCAGCTTTTATACTGACTAGCAGGGAACATCCAGGCTACCATGAGCCAGGTAAAGCCTGCTGCTGCTTTTCAAATGTAGAGCTCTCTGACTGCTGGATGCTTCCCTTTTTTGTGTGCTTTGTGTAGTCCCACAGTGATTCTGCCCTCTGTCCTTTGCTCTACAAATAACCAACTTCACATTCCCCCTCTGCCTTACAGCATCTCATTGCTACCAGGGGCTCGTCTGGTGTCATCACTCCCTTTATTTCCTCTCCCCATACCCCCACCCTGCTGCCACCCCAAGCACCAACCTTCCCCCCCACCCCCTCCTGATAATGATGTGCTGATTATGAGGCTCTTAGGCCAGCAGATTGCTCTCCAGACTCATTCGCATGCAGTGGAAAATTGCTGCTGTCTTGGAGCCCCCACCCCGCTGTGCGTAGCAGGCAGGTTGACATTAGCAAGCTGCTGGGAACGGTGCTCAGGCGCGAGGGCAGGTGCTCTGTCTCCGGCTCTATAACTGTTAGCAGAGGGAACAGAGGCTGTGTGATGCTACAAGGCACACTGGAGAGAGAATCGGGGACACTACATTCTGGGTATTATTGTGTAGCTGACAGTCATTCTTGCTCACAGGAAACGGTTACTTTTACTGGCTAAGTCAGAATCAGCTGTGTTACTCAGAACATTAAAGCTCCTGGGAGGAACTTTTGCTTTGTGGTAATTTTGGCAGCCCCTGTGGACAAAGCAGTACACCTTATGTTATATTTCTTCTTCTAATGCGTCTCTCATTGAGACTCTCTGCTGTGGAAGATGTAGACAAAGGCTGTCATAGCAGTGTGCAGTTCATTTCCTTGTCTGCCACCTACCCTGAGTCAGCAGTTTCAGGCACTAATAATACCAATACGTATAATAAACCTTATTGCTGGCATGTCCTGTCATGAAGCGACAAAAGTAGTTTCAGTCTGTTTCATAACCAGCTATGAACACCTCACAGGACCTTTAAAAATATACAGAATTTACTCATCTACTAACATTATAACTGCTCCATCCACTGTTGATGCAAGCATAAAGAGAGAATTCCTTGATTTTCAAAATATCACAAAAACACAAAATTACAACGTAGATTCAAAAAGAGCCAAAGCAGTTTATTGAGTGACAACATTTTATCAAAATGTACCCCAGGAGTCCTTAATGGACTAATTGAGTATAGATATTCACAGAATGAGTTACTTTGTTACATTGACTGACAAAATGGAAGGGAAAAAAAACACATACATTGTTCTTTTTAACACAACCCTATAATTTCATTTTGAAACCTTGGATAGGTATTTTAGGCTCCCTTTCAACAGGTTGTGAAAGGAGTACACTTGCGTTTCAATAGAGTGTCATTTCCTTTGTAACATTGGAGATTGTCTGAGAAAAAGAACAACTTACAAAGACAGCAGGTGCTCTGTGCAGTGTAGATCAGTCCTTTTAAGATAACTTTTTTTAATGGGCATTTTGACTCTTTTTTCGTCATAGCATCAGGATGGCTGGATGTTCAAACTTTGCAGATGTTTCTCAGGGTCACTGGAAGTTCCTCGGCAGAGCGGCGGGACTGTGACAGAGATGCACTCTCATGTCGCACCACGACTAAATAAATGCTCGAGTTGGTGTGGGAGATGGGGGGAACGCACATTGGCCTTTAGAAAGCTGTTCTCTTCCCATCAGCTCGCCTGATTTGAAATGGCTTGATTGAAATGAGCTTCATTTGAGATTGGCCCCTCTGCCTGCCTCACTTATGCATGCAGGCATGATAGTGCAAAGGGAAATAAAATGGCCATGAAATACCAGCCTCTGCCCATCAAAATCTGCAGGGTACAAACAGTGAAGTTCCTTTGGTGTATCTGTTTTGAGCAAGAAAACAGTTCAGCCGTTCACTTCAGCTTTGTTCTTTTGTTTTCTGTGGACCTCTTTATAACTGGCTGCCATTTGTCTAATATGATACTGATTCTCCCTCAACATGGATGTGCTTTCTTTAGAAATAAAAAGCATTCTTTCAAAAGTGTAAGCATGCACACATATACGCATGTGTCCAGTAGATACACTGAGCTATGTTGCTGCATCAGTCTTGTCACCTCATCTATATAATCTCTAGAGCCTGACTGATTAATCGGACAGCCGATAACATCGGCCGATATTAGCAATACAAGTGACGATTGGTATCGGCTGAATTTATCACACACGTGCCGGTATTAATGGATTCATTCACCATGCAGTCAAAAAGCCTTTCATTTGAGTTTCACTGTATCACACTAGCAGTTAATTTTATGTCACCAGCAGAGTATGCTCTATGGATTACAACAAACATCATCACTCTCCAGAGTGTCAAGTGGTGATGCACGTACATGCCCAGTTACTTTCCTGTTGAGTGACCGTCTCGTCTTCTTTATGTATCTTCCTGCAAGTGTTTTAAAACTGCATTTGAAGGATTAACGCGATAAATGTGTATGTATATCTCTATAAATCTAAGAAAGATATCGGCCGATATATTGGTATCTCATTTTTTTTTCTCGGTATCGGACCTAAAAATCTCATAGCCGTCGGTCCGTCTCTAATAATCTCACAGAGAAAATATGATTTCTCTCTGGGTAACTGATCGACTCAGAGCACTTTCCTTCAGACAGTCCTAAAATTTGACTACAAATTGAAACATGAAAAATACAACCAAACTGCTGCTACAAGACGCATGGCTGCATCTGAGCTACAATATCAGACGATCACATTCTGAGTCACACTTTCCACTTTCTGTTGACTCCCCACAACAAAACCTGAATCGTCCGTCTTTTTGCATCTTCTGGTGGACTTACAGGAGTTGAAATACTTTCAAGTCTTTCCTAAACAATGAAAAAGGAATAAAGCAACACGTGTAGTCGGATTATCTGAGTTTGTTTGTTGGTTTGAAAAAAAACAATACTGGTTTTGTCTTTGAATATTAATCTCCTTGAAATATTGTACTCTTATTACCTAAGGGACATCTCACTTAGGGATATTGCCTTGAGTCACTGGCATAATTGGTCTCCTCCAGTCTCACTTTGATGTAAATAACATTAGCAATTTTCCAGTCGTTTTTGCATTGATCTTCCTCTGCTGAATTCTGCCCCCAGAAGCAGCTGGAAATTGAATGTCTTAAACTGGAGATGTGAAGGGTGCATTTCATTCAAATTGTCAGAGAAACTGCTCCACCTGAAAGATGCAACATTATCGGGATTGATTCTTTGCCTTGCCAGAGGCAATTTCTGTCGACCCGTGCACTGACGGAAATGAACAGGTCAAATGGTATACATACACATGTATGCACACAGTGCATTTGATGGCCATTTTATGGTCAAACACTTGTATTACGACTTCATTTATGCAGTGGGCTGCCACTCCGGGGCCCTGTCTTTAGCAGACTGTTTGCTTTCCAAACAATTCAATCAATACAGCCTCTGTTCAACTTGACAAACTGACATTTGTTTGGGGTTGGTGGGTTCTATTTTATGCTCCTAACTATTCTTCCATCCTGTGTCATTACCTGTGACCTTCACCAAAGCAATGATTGGGCAATTTTTTATCTACTTCCACTGCAAGTCCTTGTTTGGAATGAAT